GGGCTGATTTGGGGCTGATTTTGGGTCTCATTTGGGGGGGGGTTTGGGTCTGATTTTGGGCAGGTTTGGGCTGATTTTGGCTGATTTTGGCTGGCTTTGTGTGATTCTGGACGTATTTTGGTCAATTTTGCCTGATTTTGGCCGTTTTTGGCCAGTTTTGGCTGATTTTGGGTGGGTTTTGGTTGTTTTTGGTTAGGTTTTGGCTGATTTGGAGCTCATTCTGGCCGACTCTGGCCGGTTTTGGCCGTTTTTGGCCGGTTTTGGCCGTTTGTGGCTGTTTTTATCTGATTCTGGCCGTTTTTGGCCGTTTTTGTTTGATTTTGGCCGTTTTTATCTGATTCTGGCCGATTTTGGCCGTTTTTATCTGATTTTGGCCGATTTTGGCCGTTTTTGGCCGATTTGGAGCTCATTTTGGCCGGTTCTGGCTGATTTGGAGCTCATTTTGGCCGTTTTTGGCCGTTTTTGTTTGATTTTGGCCGTTTTTGGCCGTTTTTGGCTGATTTGCAGCTCTTTTTGGCCGTTTTTGGCTGTTTTTGTTTGATTCTGGCCGTTTTTATCTGATTCTGGCCGTTTTTGGCCGTTTTTGGCCGGTTTTGTTTGATTTTGGCCGTTTTTGCCTGATTTGGAGCTCTTTTTGGCCAGTTTTTGGCCGTTTTTATCAGATTCTGGCTGTTTTTGGCCGTTTTTGTTTGATTTTGGCCGTTTCTGGCCGGTTTTGGCTGGTTTTATCTGATTTTGGCCGTTTTTGGCCGTTTTTGGCTGATTTGCAGCTCTTTTTGGCCGTTTTTGGCTGTTTTTGTTTGATTCTGGCCGTTTTTATCTGATTCTGGCCGTTTTTGGCCGTTTTTATCTGATTTTGGCCGATTTTGGCCGTTTTTGGCGCCCAGGTTCGTGCAGTACAAGGCCACGTCCCTGGAGAAGCAGCACAAGCACGACCTGCTGACAGAGCCCGACCTGGGCGTGACCATCGACCTCATCAACCCCGACACGTACCGGATCGACCCCGGGGGTGAGACCCCAAAACTGCCCAAAATCACCCCAAAACCGCCCCGAAACAAACTGCCCAAAAACTGCCCAAAAACTGCCAAAAACTGCCAAAAACTGCCCCAAAAACCGCCCCAGAACGGCCCCATCGACCTCATCAACCCCGACACGTACCGGATAGACCCCGGGGGTGAGACCCCAAAACCGCCCAAAATCACCCCAAAACAAACTGCCCAAAAACTGCCCCGAAACTGCCCAAAAACCGCCAAAAACTGCAAAAAACTGCCCAAAACTGCCCCCAAAACCGCCCCAGAACCGCCCCATCGACCTCATCAACCCCGACACGTACCGGATCGACCCCGGGGGTGAGACCCCAAACCCGCCCCGAATCACCCCAAAACTGCCCCGCAACAAACTGCCCAAAAACTGCCCCGAAACTGCCCAAAAACCGCCAAAAACTGCAAAAAACTGCCCAAAACTGCCCCCAAACCCGCCCCAGAACCGCCCCATCGACCTCATCAACCCCGACACGTACCGGATCGACCCCGGGGGTGAGACCCCAAACCCGCCCCGAATCACCCCAAAACTGCCCCGCAACAAACTGCCCAAAAACTGCCCAAAAAACTGCCAAAAACTGCCCCAAACTGCCAAAAACCGCCCCAAAACCGCCCAAAAACCGCCCCAGAACGGCCCCATCGACCTCATCAACCCCGACACGTACCGGATAGACCCCGGGGGTGAGACCCCAAAACCGCCCCGAATCACCCCAAAACAGCCCCGAAACAAACTGCCCAAAAACTGCCCCAAAACTGCCAAAAACCGCCAAAAACTGCCCAAAAACTGCCCTAAAACTGCCCCAGAACGGCCCCATCGACCTCATCAACCCCGACACGTGCCGGATAGACCCCGGGGGTGAGACCCCAAAACCGCCCCGAATCACCCCAAAACAGCCCCGAAACAAACTGCCCAAAAACTGCCCCAAAACTGCCAAAAACCGCCAAAAACTGCCCAAAAACTGCCCTAAAACTGCCCCAGAACGGCCCCATCGACCTCATCAACCCCGACATGTACCGGATAGACCCCGGGGGTGAGACCCCAAAACTGCCCTGAATCACCCCAAAACAGCCCCGAAACAAACTGCCCAAAAACTGCCCAAAAATGCCAAAAACTGCCCCAAAAACTGCCCCAAAACTGCCCCAGAACGGCCCCATCGACCTCATCAACCCCGACACGTACCGGATAGACCCCGGGGGTGAGACCCCAAAACTGCCCAAAATCACCCCAAAACAAACTGCCCAAAAACTGCCCAAAAACCGCCCAAAAACTGCCAAAAAACTGCCCAAAAACTGCCCCAGAACTGCCCCAAAATCACCCCAAACCCCCCGTTCTCACCCCAAATCC